TTTTTTTTTTTTTTTTGACAGGAGTTATATTGCTGAAGGTTTTCTATTCTTTTTCCAACAGACAGTATTTTTTTTGTTTTCTTTGAACTCATTGTGAAGAATATTTAGAGTCGTTAGAACTAAACGAGATGGTGCACATGAAAAAAGGGTCAATATTATAACTGACAGATACTAATTAATTAGAATGATAATAAAAGTATATTATTTAAATATATGTCACATAATTAATAGAAGTACAATGCACATGCACCGGAAGAGTGAGTGATTACCACCAGCAAGATTAAATGCTAGGTATGACAGTTTAAATTATAAGGTGTGGTCTTTGGTCTGAAGGGTGTGTCATTTACTCAGAACTGATGAGTAGTAGTTCCATATCCATGCAGAGAATTTTGCATCTGATTTTCTTGTTAGTCTGAAATATATAAAAAGGTTAATCCAAAATATAGAAAAAAAGGGGATATATATAATACAATATAATATTTTCCACAGTGTCCTTGAAATGAATTCAATTCCTTATTACTACAAATAAAATTTGACAGTATAGATGTAGATGATATAAAACAGTTGAGAGTGAATCTAAAGTTTAATTCTGTTTTTCCTTTATTTGCCCTTATATTCACCTGCCAATGACATATGTTCAGAATCCAAAGCAATTATCAAAAAGAAATCATTTACTTTTCAAAATATTTTTGTGCATTTTAAAAGTGTATATAGTGTCCCTGTTATTCTGAATTTTTAAAATTGATTCACAAAAAATCAAAACACATGAATCTGAAGCAAATCTTGGTTTCAGAAACTTTTTCAAATCAGGAAATTTTAGTTAAATAGTAGTAGAAGATCTTTTAAAAGTGTTTCATTTTCTTGTTTGAACATGACAGAGTAAAATTATATCCACTCCTATCCCTTCTAGTGAAAACAGAAAATGACAAGAATAAAAACCAGAGAAAAAAATCTTCTTCTCTAATAAAACCATGAGATTTCTAGCCCAATAAATAAACTATAAGGACCAGCATAGAAATACCAAATAGAGTGGAATTTGAACTAATCTATAGATAAAACAGCACCAACAGATTTTGTGCATAGTACAAACCTCCTCGAAATATGGTGGTCTCTAACCTTAAAGATCTAAGCAAAGATTTCTTTCTTAGCAGAGTGAGTTATTAGGATGTGGTGGGCTTTGGGACTTTACATAAATCATGTTCCGTAGTGTGAGAGCAGAAAATCCACAAAGAAAACCCATCTTTTCTAGAAGTTAGTAAGAACTGCAAGTAATGACAAGGAATATGTTTGATCAGCTTGATAATTGTTGTCAAGTCCACTCAGGGGGATGAAGAAGTAACTAGTTAACCTGCAGTTCTTTCTCTTTATAGTCAGATGTCCTGGGAGAAAAAACAGAAGGTAGGTGACTGGTATAAACTCCTTGTCATCAGGAATTTTGGGTAATGGAACTACTGAATTTTGCTACGAGGAAGAAACCTTATCTCTAAAATGCCCTTTGTAGTGTCCTTGGCTAAGGGTTACCTATAATAAATAGAATCTAGAGCCTATGAAGCATGGCAGATGTCTTATAAGTTAAAAAACTCTCTGAGATATAAAATGGAGATGTTTTATACTTCTAATTCTTCTCTTGTGTGAGGTAACACCATGAAACTTATTTAGAAACTTGATCTATTGTTCTGAGTCAGATATTCATGTCCAGTGCAGGACACTGGGACTTGGGAAGTTGCTGCTGATGTCTGAAGCCTTTCCCTGTTTTGTCTAGACCTCTTGATTGACTGTATCCTTGAAATTATTAGGAAAGGTTTATGCTGGAATAAGATTCCTGATTCACTTGTGTATGCTGTGATAATTCAATTCGATGTGCTATCTTGGGGAAATAAAATGCACTCTCTAATACCACAAAGGAAATCTATAACATAGAAAGCTTCATAATAAATCTTACAGATTTTTCTGCTCATTCTGAAAAGACACTGAGAAATAGGCAAAGGTACTACAAAGAAAATAAATCATCTTAAACCAGACAAGAAGTTTTGAGGGAGAAGTATTCTGAGATAATATACACAAAATAAAGCTGTCCTAACTCACATGCCCACCTAAAATGCAGCATACACACACACAAAGCTTTATCTGGGTTAAGAGACCTCATAATAAAAATTATGATTAATGTAAAAGAAACTACATATGGCCCCTGTTAAGTAATTATAAAAGGAGGAAAGGAAGATAAATGAAAGACAGTAATACAAAATCAGTGACATTCTCAAAAACCACCAAAAATAACTGGAAAACTTAATTTAAAAAACATATAATTTACAATAACAACAAAGCTATAAGGTTCCTAAGAATAAACATAACAAAAACAGAAGTAGATATAAGGGAAATTCTAGAATGTTTTAGGACATATAAAAAAAGAATGGAGGGAGCCGGGGCCCGTGGACCGGGGGGGCGGGCAGGCAGGAGGGCTCTGCGGGGGATGCGGTGGGTGCGGGGAGTCCCGCAGGGGGTGGGGGTGGGGTCACTTGGGGAGACCGACCTTCAGGGGAGGGGGCCTGGGGACTGCTCGGCGGGACCAGACCCGGCTGGGGAGCAGCGGCGACTTCCGGGGGCTGGGGCCAGGGCTCCTGGGCTTCGGGGAGGCCGCCGCAGACCCCATCTTCCCCTGGTAGCCGGAGTTTGTGGTGATTGTTGCTGCTGCTGCCACCCGTCCGGCTGCATCTCCTCCTCCTGGGCCGCCGCCGCCTCCTCTTCCTCCTCCTCCTGGGCTGGGCAGACCCCCTCCCCGCTGCAGCCTCCTCCTGGGCTCAGCCTGCGGTGTCAGGTCTCCTGGTGGAGCCGCTCCTGCCGCCGCTGCCTCATTCATCCTCGTGCAGCATAGGCGGCACAGGCACCAGGATGTCCAACCGAGTGGTCTGCCACGAAGCCGGTCACTGGTACACGGCCTCAGGACCGCAGCTGAACGCACAGCTAGAAGACTGGCTCACACAAGCACAGTATACAAAAAGACCCGCTGGAGCCATCATTACATCCCAGGCAGAATACACATATTGTGGGTCTTGTGCTGCTCATGGTTACAAACAAACGAATCCGTCTATTACCCAGTGAATTTTCATCCTTGGGCCTTCTCATCATGTGCCCCTCTCTCGATGTGCACTTTCCAGTGTGTGTGTATATATACATATATATATAGGACAACTCTTTATGACCTTCGTATTGATCAAAAGATTTACAGAGAACTGTGAAAGACAGGAACGTTTGAACACATGTCTCTGCAGACAGGTGAAGATGAACACAGTGTTGAAACGCGTTTGCCTTATACAGCTAACGCCATGGGAAGATACAGATTCTGCCCAAGAAGCCCCTGCATTGCAGAGACTGGAGATCCGTATGATCTGTTTATATCACAGTTGACAAGGTCCTGTTCAGAACTAGTCAGACAAACACGATTCATGCTTCTAAAATTCCAAATCAGGGATCATTTAGAATATAAATAATATTGAATATATCCATAAGGATGAGTTTACCATTATTTCTGTACTGGTTGGAGCTCTGAGTTGAAAGAACAGGAATTTGGAAAACTCTTCAGTAAATATCTAGCAGATCCTAGTAATCTCTTTGTGTTTTTTTCTGATTTCTGCCATTGGGGTCAAAGGTTCCGTTACAGTTACTATGTTGAATCCCAGGGGGAGATTCATAGATCCATTGGACATCTAGATAAAATGGGTATAAGTATTACAGAACAATTAGACCCTGTATCTTTTAGCAATTACTTGAAGAAGTACCATAATACTGTATGTGGAAGACATCCCATTGGGGTGTTACTAAATGCTATCACAGAACTTCAGAAGAATGGAATGAATATGAACTTTTCTTTTTTGAATTCTGCCCAGTCAAGCCAGTGTAGAAACTGGCAAGACAGTTCAGTGAGTTATGCAGCTGGAGCACTCAGGATCCACTGACGCTCTGATTCCTCAGGGATACCGCCTGCACACACTCATACTCTGTCCGCGGTCCCAGCCTAGCCCTTACCAAGATACTGGTCCTGGTTTGGGTGGATACTGAAACCTTAAACTAATAGAATTTTCTTCTTTTCTAGTTGGTATAGTCCTTCCTTAATTTCAACTCATGAAAAAATGCTTTACAGTTTAGGCAGTGGAAGGAAGGCTGCCATCAAAATATGCGATCAAACACAATGGCAATGTAAAGGCCCAATTGTGGCAGACAGTTTTTTTGAAAGTAACTTGGTAAAGTATTTACCATATCCTAAATTTGTACTCTTTGCAGACTTGTGCACATATATTCCGCTTTCAGAATAGTTTTGCAAATTGTACACAAACAAAAAAAGGGTGGAAGCTTTTTAATAAAGAAGTTGCATTTATAAATGATCTCTATTAGAATATAATAAATCTCCAGTTATAGTCAATTACTACCCATGTTGTACAACAGATACCTTCTATTTTAGTTGCTAATAAAGGGCTACACACACACACAAAAGGAATGGAAATATGATTATACACATGAATGGGACTCATGAAATTAAAAATGTGATAACTGACATAAAAATGAGTAGACAAGTTGGAATGTAAAACTAGGGAAATCTCTCAGAAAATAAAGGAAAAAGAGAAGAAAAATAATAAAATAGTATAAGAAAATCAGAGGATTGTGCCAAGAATTTCAACATCTAATTACAATGATTTTTGAAAAGACTATAGGAAAAACAGGAAATAAGTAATTAGAAGCTCAAGGATGTGAGTATATAGACTAAAAATTGAACTATTGAGAATGATACATATTTAATATTTCAAAAAACTGAAGGGAAAAATTCCAGAGAAAGAGAGCCACTTGTTCTCATACAGTAAATCAAAATAGATCAGTACCAAGAATGCCAGTACAAGACAGTGTAGATTTAGATTTGGACAAAACAATCTATTTGCAAAATAACCCAAAACAAAGCTACTTAATTTCTTTGGACCTCAATTTCCTCATCTGTCATTAGGGATATTCCCTTTTAATAATTTTATTTTAATAGGGAATAAATACGCTAATATAGAACCCAGTACATAGGATATGCTAAATTAATGTTGCCTATTATTAGAAAATGTATTAACAGCAACCCTGGAAGCTTGAGCATAGTTGAACAATATCTCTAAATCCTAAAGAGAATGACTTCCAACTTAGAATTTTGTAGGCAGCCAAACTGTCAGTCATGATACATGGGGGAGAATAGATACTTAACAGATATAAAAACCTAAAAAAATATATAACTCCCATGTACCTTTTTCCACCATGGTGAGGAAGTTAACTCAGAAAGAGGAAAATAAGGTTTCTGAGATAGAGAGAATTCAGTACAAAGGAGAAAGGCTAAGGGAATTCTCAATTAATAAAAATCGTAGCACATCAGGGTTCCAGCAAACTAGAGAGTATATCAGTAAATATGGGACCAGGATATTAGTGGGATTTATGAGAAAGCTCTTTTTGGAAAAATAACATAAAGTTGATACATTATCTGATAGGTTTGACAATGTGAATAATTTGGTTAAAAAGCATTTTAGAGAGCTATTGGAAGTTTGGGAAGATGTAAGCCAAACAAAAAAATAAATAAAAATTAAATTTTGGAAAAGTAAATTGGATATAAATGCAAGGAATTCTACCAAAGTTCTGAATTTTGTATTATATATTTCATTGTTTTTCTTTTTAAAAATATAGGTGTTTTCAAATGTATTTTTTTCCCTATTTCATCTTTTCTGAAGACAAAAGTATAGACTAATTTGCCTATTGGCCTGATACATCTCAGGTTAAAATCTAGGAAATTCTGCTGTAGTCTCCCCATAGTTTCAGACTTTGGAAAAGCCTGGGAATCTTTGTCCCTCTACACACTGGGGACTTGGAAAAACATGTATGACCAAAGTAGTAAGCAGATTTGGATTTTACCAATGAGTGTTATAAAGCTGTAGTATGGCACTCAGAAGAAATAGCCACTTATAGAAAAGGGTAGACTTGACAGGCTTAGTCTTTAGGAATGAGCTGTGTCTAGGAAGAAGCTCTGTATTGCTTATCTATTCTATGCTTATTCTTTGGAGTATGGGGAGGACCAAGTGTACTGTCTTGAATTTCTCCTCTTCTATGTTTGGCTCTAATTTCTCTCAAATCTTTAATAATAGTTAAATACACAGGGGGGAATAAAGGTTCAGGGCAGTCAAAGGCAATGTGGCCAGCACCCTCCTGCTATGTGAGTGAAAAAACAGCATTCTTCAAAGGATTCTGGAAGATGAAAAGCAGAGACACGAAGAGTGGCCTGCAACAGAGTCAGAGGCAGTAAAGATGAGCATCTACATGGCGGGCCATCCAGGGACAGATTGACCAATTATTCTGTTTCCATATATACCATAAAATGGTAACACTGATGTCTGGAGGTAGAACTATTCTTATAAGGATTTAGCATTCTCCCTTTCTGTCACATGTCTCAGATAATACCTTATATCATTTTGACTTTGATGTAAAAGGACGTACATAGGCCAATGTGGGAGCTAGGGTCCTTCACCATATACAAATCAAGGGTTTCTATAAAATCTCCTAGTTTAGGCACAGATTTAAGCAGGTCCAAGAGAGTGTCTGTTGCTCTTGACTTACTATCTTCCATCAGATTAGTTGAAATCATATTACACTTTGAAACAGATTTATATCATTTAGCTCATCCTTGGTAGATTATTAAAGTCAAATCTGCATTTTAATACATGAGTTTTAAACTTAAAAAATGAAAGCTTTATTTAGAAAAAAAGAGAAGATGCATGCAGGGAATATTAGCTATTCATAGAGTTCAGTCATGTCTATGTGAATGCTCTACATGCTGCTAGGCCATGTATGCCTGTGCTTTAATTTTTGCCAAGTCCATCATTACATGTCACCCAGAAAAATGCTGACATATTGGCAATTAGGTTGAGTTTCCTGTCACCCGTCCTAGACTTTATTGCTTAAGATGAATACTGTGCAAGTATGAACCAATATGGTAGGGACAGTCAAAACAGCTAAGAAAATATACCTAATATATTTGGGAGAATAAGCCCATATACAGGTCAAGCAAGGTTGCAATCTCATTATCCCAGAGATTTTGGAGGAAAAAATTAAAATGAAGTGGCAAGGTTTCTGCGGGGGAAGATATTTTGGACAAGTTAGAAAAATAGTTTGAAAATTTCATTTAAAAAACAAAGTAGTTTTTATAGATTTTAATTTACTTGAGTTAATTTTTGATAGTTTGTGTTTTTACAGTACTGTAACATATTTTTAAGCTTTGCAGAATTGCTAGCTGAAATGAAATAGATGGCTTAAGCTTTCTGATTTCCATTTAAATGCTCAACAAACTGTTACAAGGAAGTAGTGTTGCATGGTTTATAACAACTTTAAGAGATTTGCAGCTGTGCTATGAGTACATCCAATTATACTAAATCTGACTTTCAAAATTACTTTTTCTGTTACATGGACAAGTTAGTGTAGAAGGAAGTGGTTTGCCTAGATATAAGAAAGTAATATATATTTGAACACTTGACATATTCAAATAGTCCTCTACCCAGAAAAAGGAAAGTTGCAGTAACTATTTATTACAGATAAAACAATAAAGAGTTTTTGTAGTTGAGTTTTTAATTTCAGAGCTAAATATTTTTAAGTGGAAGAGAGGTTAATTAGAATTCTCAGTATTATCTACTGAATATTAGATAATTTCATGCTTAATATTGGTAAGTTGATTGCAGTGGGAGGACAAAATTTAGAATCATAGAATATTATAACAGGCAAATACGTTGACTTTCATCTGGTTAGCCCAAACTCCTATTTTTCAGCTGAAGAAATTAGAGCTTGAAAAAGTTGAAGGAAAACAAAGAGCTTGGCAAAGGAGGTCTAAATAGAATGTTATGGTAGATTTGGAACAGTTAGAGATGTTGGCGTCCCATCACTGGGTGACTACAGGATGTGGGTGATGAGCCGTAAGTGGAGATTGCAAATAAAAGGAAAGCAAAGACAATGCTCAAGTACCATAAAAACAATTGCAAAGTTGTAACAGAAGCAACTCCATTAGCTACACAGTAATGTAGTTACTAGTTTCATAAATACCAGTTATTATCCTAGAATCACCAGATTTTATAAGATTTTAAATATTTCAGGTTGTAAAATTAAGAAAAAAGTGATGTTATATCTTACTAAAAATACATGTCAGAGCATAGAGTTCATTCTCCTTCACAAAATTGCACATTAGTCACTAAAACACTTGTTGCCAAACTAAGAAATAGAAAGATAGATGATAAAGAAGTAATTATGCAAGAATATGCTAGTATAATTATAAAGATAGTTATGTCATATCTTATAAAGTATCACTTTAAAGGTTAAGAAAACTGAAAGCAGACTTAATTTCAAAGAACAGGAGAAAATAGATAAACAGCAATCTACATTTGTAGTGACCAACTATACAGTTATTTTAAACAGTATGATTCAAAGAATATATAATGACTTTGGAAAAAGATAATTTTATAATAAGCAGAAAACATTAACTATATGTAATATAATAAAATGTAATATGAATAATATATAATATATGATACATATTGTGTGTATTAGATTATACAAAAGAAAAATTAAAAATAACCTGCTATATTCAACTTGTTAATATTGGCGCTTTTTTCCCCTGTATTTTCCAACTTTTAAAGTTCTTTTAAACAACTTCTGTTTATTGCTTTTATGATGGTTTGAACTCATATCACTTAAGTTCTAGTTAGGAGAAAATAACCCCACAATTTCAACAGAGTGAGTTTAATATAAAGAACATCAACCAGGTGGTTACTTAAAGGGATGAACATGAGCTCTAAGTGTAAAAGGTTTAGCAACTACAGAAGGCTGCTGCCACTCCTAGGACTGAGAGACATTTGAACCAGAAATGAACTCAGAATTTGGGGGTCTCCCTCCTATCTTCTCC